GAGAGAGAGAGAGAGAGAGAGAGAGAGAGAGAGAGAGAGAGAGAGAAATTTTAAACACCCTAATACTTAGAGACACAAAACTATAGCACAAAGAGTTAACTCAAAGAATATATAAAATGACAAAAATAAATCTCCTATTGAAAAATCAATAGACGCCCAACACATACATTAATTCCTATATATAGTGAACGAAATTAATAGGAATATTTCGTATATTTTCAATACTACTAACACAAAAATTCTGCAAATATCCCATTAAAAAGACATCAATCAATACAATTACTTTATTAACTATAATATTATAAATACACAATAATAATAGGCATTTACAATATTTCGCATACAATTGTATATAACAAATAAGAGGTTCTTTACATTCCCGAAGCTTAACGAGAAAATGCTTTAAAAATATATTTAATAATAAAATAAAAAACTCTTAAAATGTCTATAAATGGAGTGTTCGTTCCCTGAAGTCACATATCTTTATGCCTTTCCCTACCATTTTTTCCCTCCTATTCTTCCACTATAGATATAATGCTGTAATAGTAGTAATAATAATAATACTATGGAATCCTCATTTATCTTAATGTTTTTATCCCTATTATGTATTTATTTGTTTGTGTCAGGAATTTATTTGACCGTGGTTATGGCTATAACATCGGTGTCGGTAATTATGACAGTAATCGTGCTCAATTTTCACTACCGTGGCCCAGTCAAGAAAAAAATACCAAGTTGGCTCAAAACTCTCAGTACACTATCAAATAGTGAACCTAATAAATATTCGCCTCAAACGGTATGAGGTTTATAGTATTTGGAACAAAATCACATTGAATTTTGAATATAATACAAAGTAAAATGCTTTATGCAGTATATATTTTAGCATTTTGTTTTATATATAAATGTTTTATATGTTACACTGTATGCAGAATATTCTGCTGTTTTATATGTATATATTTATATCCGTGAAGCTTTTGTATGGAATAAAATTCTTATGATTATTTTGAGTTTTTATATTTTGTTTTTAGAAAATAATCTATTTCAAATCTGTATGCAGAATATTCTGCTGTTTTATATGTATATATTTATATCCGTGAAGCTTTTGTATGGAATAAAATTCTTATGATTATTTTGAGTTTTTATATTTTGTTTTTAGAAAATAATCTATTTCAAATAATTTTCAAGGGATTTAAGTCACATTATTTTACGTATTTGTAATGACTTTTAGTTTATAAATGTAATTTATTTTTTTCATTTTTATATTTATTTATAATCATTTTTCTAATAAGATTATTATTTTGCAATTGCATTTATGAATTTAATTTAAATGTCAAAATTTTGAATAAAAGTTAAACTAAAAAACATATAAACATTATTATTAGATTATAAATTAATCAAAATATGCGATAACATTAAAACACTTATTATGATTACTAAATAATTTACAACAAAATATATTTCTGATTTTAGCAAAACGTAGCGAATAATTACAAATCAAATTCAACACAACTATTCAACGCTATGTCAAGTAATTTAACAAATGAAATACAACACCGACTACTCCGGGAGCACTCAAAGTACAAACAAAATGCACAACAAACCACTGGCCATAACATGTCCAATAGTGTGGGCGGTCACACACCACTTGACCCGTATGGTGGGCACCGGTACGCCCTCAGCACCGAATCTTTAATCAACATCGAAGACAATTACAAACTACTACTGAACTTATCGCGGGCCAAGTCGTGTAACCGTATCGCCAATAATATGGACACTCGATCGCATACGACTGGGTCGACAGCCGTGAGTGTACCGCCCGGTGCTTACGATAAGCTATTACAGGCTCACGAAGAGTTGCTCGACATTATATGCCGGTATCTAATGTGGGAGAACGAGCTGAAAGAGCACGAGTCCAGTGTTATACACGAGTGGCGACTATTAGCCCTATTTATTGATCGCATATTATTTTGGATATTTTTCATTATTACGTTTTGCTCATCGGTTATGTTTTTGGTGGTCATTCCCATCAAACAACGTGGTTTACCCAATTTTCTATATCGATGAATTATATACTACCCATATGCCACCTTGGCTTAACTATTTGGTGGTAAGTGAACATATTGAGCTATTATTAATGTAATAAAATTATTTTTTAAATGTTTTTATTATTGCTGTGAATAATGTTATTAAATTTTTAATATAAAAAATATAGAGAAAAATTGAAAATACATTCACATTTATTAATTAATTGTTAAATCATACATTAATACATTAGCTAACCATTTGCTCATAAAATTCTTGCCATTAAAAATTTCTCTCACAAATGATTGTTTTCATAATGAAATCAAAAGTAATTTAACAGATAATATATGTTATCTATATAATATATATCTTATTGTAGTATAATATGAAGTGTTGTGCAAATTAATGAATTTTATTTAATAAATAGACAAATAATTATTAGATTTTAAAGATAGTGTTATATAAAGCGTATAATTATAACGTGATATGTCTTTAAAATAAAATGTAACGAATCTACAGTACGAATGCTATAATTATACACATTATTTGTTTGCATATAAAATTCATAGTAATATATTTTTCATTGTAATTTAAAAAACATTTACCATTAAATTAAAGGTGATATATATTTTCTATGAAATAAATATTTATAGAATATTTAAATGTTAGATATATTAATTATACTAAA